GGGGGGGGGTGTTTTTCAGTGTCCATATATCTATTGGATCTATTCGAATGATGCCATGTAGTTTGTTCTTGATATGTTAATTTTGTGTGTTTTTTTCTCTCTCATTTTGTTTTGTTGAAAACTTTTGGTGGGTTCAGCAGCTTTTCTTGGCAAGTTGTTGGAGAGGACTGCTAGTAGGTCCTACTTCTTTTTTTTCTTCCCTCCTGTAAAATTGTAACAACTGCGAATACTGTACATTAAATAGGACGGCAGTTTTGATATAAGCTCATTGATATTATATCCGTCATTCCTCTTCCCAGCATCCCCCACCTTGAATCCCTGCCGCACAGCCGCGAGACCGAGTCATCCGCCGAGGAAGCCGGCTTGTCTGGCGAAGTGTCAGCCCCTGACCGTACAACAGCTGCCGCCACTGAGGGTTCGAACCCTCTTCCTGCGATATACAAGCCAAAGCCTGTTCTGACTCTGATGCCAAATACCTCTGCAGGTTTGTGCGTTGTTTGATTCAGAGGTGATGATTTTCCGGATAAATCTGGAAATACAGATTTCTTAAATTGCCCACATTTTCCCCATCTTCAGGCGGACTATATGTAAACAGCCTTAATGCAAGATAAAGTGAACAATATGATCTGTAAAGTGCTGTGGTGACGATTTGAATTATAGTGGCAGTGGCAAGGGAAACATGCTTTGAAACATTGCCAGCAAGGGGAAGAAATGGGACCCGTGAAGAAATCAAACGAGACATAATTTACAGGCATGTCTCCACAAGGTTGGAAAAGTTCTGGATCTGTACACGTAGATATTGGAGTGATATGTGTTTGTTTATTTTTGAAAATTGTCAGGCTAAGTTTTAATTTTTTTTGTCATGTACTCAGTGTGTGGGTAACCTTGGGTATAACAGCATTGATTTAAAATTGTTACTGAGCGTGGCCTTCTTCTTCTTCTTCTTCTTTTTCTTTTTCTTCTTCTTCCTCTTCCTCTTCTTCTTCTCCTTCTCCTTCTCCTTCTTCTTCTTCTTCTCCTTCTTCTTCTTCTTCTTCTTCTCCTTCTCCTTCTTCTTCTTCTTCTTCTTCTTCTTCTCCTTCTCCTTCTCCTTCTCCTTCCTCTTCTCCTTCTCCTTCCTCTTCTCCTTCTCCTCCTGCTTCCAGAATGTCTTTCTCGAGTGACTCATAACATTTGAAATGCCCCAGGTTGTTCTGTTTCAGTTTCCTTATGTTCTGGCGGTGTGTTGGTGTTTTTGTATCATTATTATTCTTAGTACTACTTCATTCTTTGTTTTCTGCGTCCAGGTCTATTCTTTGATTTTGTTATCCATAAATCATTAAATGTAAAATCGTAATGTGTGGAATTTTTTCCTCTGGGTTTTTTTTCTCCTGTTTTCAGGGCCGTGTCTGTGTGTAGCTTGGCAGAATGCTGGGGATCTCCGATATATCTTGTCCAGCTATGGCACGGGTGAGTGTGTTGTGTTGTGTTGCAATGTGTTGTGTCGTCAGTGTGATGTGTGGTATGTGTGTTGTGTGGTAAGTGTGTTGTGTTGTGTTGTAATTTGTTATGTCATGAGTGTTGTTGTTTTGTGAGTGTGTTGTGTTATGAGCATGGTGTGTTGTAAATGTGTTGTGTTGTGTTAGATGTGTGAGAGAGAGAGAAAGAGTTGTGTGTGAGAGAGGAGAGAGATAGTTGTATGTGAGAGAGGAGAGAGAGAGAGAGTTGTGTGAGAGAGAGAGAGAGAGAGCGAGTTGTGTGTGAGAGAGGAGAGAGAGAGTTGTATGTGAGAGAGGAGAGAGAGAGAGAGAGAGAGTTATGTGTGAGAGAGAAAGAGAGAGAGAGACCTTATGCAGTTGCGAGCGCCGTAAAACCTCTACTAAAAAAACCCAAACTCTTACTTAAACCCCAAAACCCCACTCTCTCTATTTCCCCTCCAAGGCGGCGTGTTTCTCTGGGACCTTGAGTCTGCGTCCCCCCTGGTGAGAGTGGACCGATCCAGCCTCCTGCCCGTGCGCTGCTTCAAGGAGAGCAGCCTGGGGGTGGTGGGCTGTGTGTGGAGCGCCCGCTGCCCGTACCTATTCGTCACCGCGTCCTTGAGCATGGCCGTCTCCATCTGGGATATTCGCAAACCACAAGTGCCCCTGTGTGAGTGGCGTCTGCCCGCCTCGTGGAAAGACCATGGGTTTTTTTCTTGACATGCTTTTGAAAACAAGTTTTTGTGTCATTTTTTAAAGTAAAAAAAAAAAATGAATATATATAGATGAATATAAATATATATTGATGCATAAAGATGTATAGAGATGTGCGTATCCAGAGAGAGAGAGAGATTGATATATATTTTTATATATATAGATAGAGAGAGAGAGAGAAAGATATAATTTTTTATTATTTTTTTTTCAGAAACTTACTTTAAAAAGAGGTATATTTCTGTGTAATTTTCAGTTAATCAAGTCGCCTTTTGACTCATTGTATGGTATCTTGAGTTGAAGAAAGAAAAAAATACTCGCAATAATAAAGAAAAGATTGGGATATCGATGACGTAAAGATGGTGATGATGATGGAAATGGTTGTGGTGAGATAATGATGAAGATGACATTTGAAACGTTTGTCAGCTCCCATCGTCTTCCCCAGCCTCCTCCACAACACGAAACGCTGAGACGACCTACGCGCGTGCCGTGTGCAGTACGGGGCCCATCCGTGCTGCCTTCCTGTCCACGGCCGACAGAATCATCGGGTGAGCACTCTCGCGTCCTGGGTTGCCTGTCTGTGGTACACTCTTGTGGTGTGTGTGGTCTAGTGGTTAGTCTGTCTGTGGTACACTCTTGTGGTGTGTGTGGTCTAGTCTAGTGGTTAGCCTGTCTGTGGTACACTCTTGTGATGTGTCTAGTCTAGTGGTTAGCCTGTCTGTGGTACACTCTTGTGGTGTGGGTGGTCTAGTCTAGTGGTTAGCCTGTCTGTGGTACACTCTTGTGGTGTGGGTGGTCTAGTGGTTAGCCTGTCTGTGGTACTCTCTTGTGGTGTGGGTGGTCTAGTGGTTAGCCTGTCTGTGGTACTCTCTTGTGGTGTGTGTGGTCTAGTGGTTAGCCTGTCTGTGGTACACTCTTGTGGTGTGTGTGGTCTAGTCTAGTGGGTAGCCTGTCTGTGGTACACTCTTGTGGTGTGTGTGGTCTAGTCTAGTGGGTAGCCTCTCTGTGGTCAAACATAAGTGACCATGTCTGCTTCGACCAGAGTCCGTAGCCCAGCATTTGTTTCCAGCACAATTTCTTCCTTGTCTTCAAGGTCGCTGGCCCCTTAGTCTTTCTTTAATTGTGGGGAAGTGCTGTAAAATGTTGACTACAACTAAACAAACATCACACGTCTCGTCTGCTCGGAACAGGAAGGAGAACTGCCCACTGTCCATCACCGGCCTGACCCCGTCCTTCATGAGAATTCCCTCCCTTCGCCTGTGTCTCGCCAGGCACTTTGACTGCATCTGGGTATGTGAACTTGTTTGTTTGTGTCAGTGTCAGTGACACAGAGGGTTTAGTGGATGTGTCAGTGACACAGAGGGTTTAGTGGATGTGTCAGTGACACAGAGGGTTTAGTGGGTGTGTCAGTGACACAGAGGGTTTAGTGGATGTGTCAGTGACACAGAGG